AAAACATAAAAAAATAAAAAAAAAACCCGTCAAGAATCAAGAATCCTCTGGCTCAGGGAAGGCACTCAGGATACCAGCTGGCTCATTGCTCCTGCAGGACATAAAAGAGTGATTGCTTTTTTAAAAAAATTAGACTGGGGTCCCTGCCAGCCTAAATAACTGCAGTGCTTGACCAAGAGCCAAGCCTAGGAGGCTAAAGACAGAGTTCAAAGATTGCCCTTGTTTTAGACAAGATCATTTCTATTCGCCTTCAGAGAACATTTAGGTCCAACCCTGTCCAGGGATTTAGGCTTGCAGGCTTCTCAGATGCCAGTGTTTTCATGGAGCCTTCGTTCTGGGTACTTTGGTTTTTCTCCCACCCCCGTGGCAGAGGTGAATCCAGAAGGATCTTTCAAGCACCTCTAGGCAGGAAAACAGAGGAGTAGGCAATAGCCGCACCCCATTCATCTTCTTCTTTTCTTCTGAGTTCTCCATTTAATAGTATCAAATTGCCTCTCCCCTACCGCTCATAAGCCATTTCCATGTGTGTTATTACAGTGACCGGCCGGATGTGGGAAGAGAGGGACATCTCCCAGTACAGCCTGGCAAGCATTCTGTGGTTGATGGGGCAGCAAAGGTCCTTAGAGGTCCCCTTTCCCCACCCTTTCTCCTCCTGTGTTACCAATGGTCACAGCCCTGAGTAACAGCAGTGACTCAGTGGTTCAAACATCAAAGAGGCAATTGTCTGGAGCTGAAAGTGTGTCAGGGCCTTGGATATTTAGGCAAACACTGAGAGCAGTGAGGAGTGTGTGGAACTTGGCCTGGAGAAATCCCCCATGCAAAATGCGTGGATGGAACCCAACTCAGCCTCTCACTGACCTCTCTGCAACTGGGAGACGGAAAGAAAAGATGGCTGGAACACAGAGATCCCTGCTTCAGTCTCAGGGATCCCCCCTGACAGTTTCAGGTTGTCTCCACCAAGAGACACACCATCGACCAGCTCTGGCTAACATGTCTCCTCAGCCTCCAAGAGGGTAGATTCCTCCCTCATCAGCTCTACAACAAAGCCAATAACCACTCTAATGTTTTGCTGAGATTCTCCTTCACACTTACAGATGACAAGGAGCTTTTCTAGAAAAAAAAGAGGTTGTGATAAAAACTTTCTTCCCTTAGAATGCGAGGTGACGCAATGACTGAATCAATCGAACGATGCCTATCTGTTCATTCTCACGGTGTTCTGGTTATCTCCGTTCGTAATTCCAGTCCTAACTTCTTGCTCTAAGGCATACTGATAAAAATCATCTTTTAATAGAATCATTATTGACTTTGGCCATTGTATTAATCAGAAGTAGCAACTACTGCAATAGCTTTTATTTTATTTTATTTTTTTGAGATGGAGTCTTGCTCTTGTCTCCCAGGCTGAAGTGCCGTGGCGTGATCTTGGCTCACTGCAACCTCCACCTCCTGGGTTCAAGCAGTTCTCCTGCCTCAGCCTCCCGAGTAGCTGGGGCTAATTTGTGTGTTTTTTTAGTAAAGATGAGTTTTTACCATGTTGGCCAGGCTGATCTCGAACTCCTGACCTCAGGTGATCCACCCACCTCGGTCTCCCAAAGTGCTGAGATTTCAGGCATGAGCCACCACATGGCCTGTAATACTTTTAAAATCTTACTGGTTTAATACTAGACAGTTACTTCTTGAAAACGTTAAGTCCAATTGGTTGCTTTGCAACTGGACTCAGACGGCTTATGCTTAGTGTTTCCACCATCTTTAGGGGTCTCAGAGTCCTCTACTGGGTCTTCTGCATCTGACTTCCCAAGAGAGCTTGTGAACGACGCTGTCAGAGGTTTTAGGGAAGCCAGGCACATCACAGAGACTCACATTCAGATTCAGTCCATGCCAGATTGCTTTGAGCTCAGAAGTTGGAGACCAGCCTGTGCAACATGGCAAAACCTCATTTCTACAAAACATACAAAAATTAGCAGGTGTTGGTGGCTCGCGCCTGTAGTCCCAGCTACTCGGGAGACTGAAGTGGGAGAATCGCTTAAGCCCGGGAAAAGGAGGTTGCAGTGAACCCAGATCATGCCACTGCAACAACCCTGTCTCAAAAAAAAAAAAAACCTCAAAAGACAAAAACAACAAAAAAAGAATCAGCCTGTGCCTCGCCTCACTGTAAAGGGCTGGGAGATACAGTTCTGTCAT